ACGGGTCTCATGAAAAACCCTTGGTCTCACGTGAACCCAACCCTATATATATATATATATATATATATATATATACACACACACACACACCCCTTAGTTTTTTTGTGAAAATAAGAGTTATGGTGAGCTTCACGTACATTTATACACCATCTATCTTCAACTAATTTCATTTGTCTATTGTTATCATCATAATCCGAATATTAACAAATTCATACATGTGAAAGTGATTAAATATATGTAACAGCCCATGAAAATAACTGAAAGTGAAGATAAAAACAGTTGAAAGTAGTTGAAGCAAAATGAAATTAAATTAAAAAGTCAACGCATCCAAAGAAATAATAATAAAAACATGATCACATCAGTTGAATTTTAGCTTATTTACCTGATAAATGAATTTTTAGCATACATGACGTCAATTGATTTTGTTGGATATCCATATTAATAAATAAATAAATAAAGGCATCGTCATATTAAGTAGTTATTAAGGGGTCGTTTACCAAATGTTAACCGGGTAAGCGTTTATCAGGTGATTTACCTTGCCTAATAACAAGACTGAACGTTCTTACCTGGTAAGTAACGGTGGTGAATCTTACCTGGTTAGTGCTTACTGGGTAAAACTATTGTCTACTATGCCATCCTGTTGACCATAAATCTTACCCAGTAAAATAAGTGAGTGATGACTCTATCAGTAAACACTTACCCGATAAACGTTTGATAAAAAGTCCGCAGACAAAGTTCGTTTATTTTAATGAAATTTTGACCAATGAGTGTATGGATAAGATTTTGTCAAGTAACTGGAACATGGGTCCCCAACAAGAATAGAGACATGAACCAGAAAATACCTGGGCCAGGGAATGATCCAGCCCAAATTCTCGACAAGACCGACCCGATCCGACCGCCACATTTTGAACACAAATTGTTTAAATTGATATAACGTGCTCGAGTAATGTTATATCATTTCAATCTTCTTAACAGATACTTGATGATACTAAAAAAAGTGACGTCGACATCTAGATTTAGGGACTGGATGGGACAAAAAAGACTTTTCTTAGACAAGGATGGATGCAGATGGGTATGGACATGAAAGGAAGGCAGTGAGGTTATAAGGTTTTAATATAACATGGGTAATTTAGTAATTTATCAACCTTATTTTATCTCTCAGATTCTCATTCTACCTATTTTGGTTGCATTTTTTGTCCCATTCAATCATATAGTCAGTAGCGGATCCATAAAATTTTATCAATGGGAGCACACTTAGAGGTGTCAAAAAAAATTCAAAACTGATAGCTCCTCCAAATCAAAGACCGTTTTAGGTTATTATCATGTGCAATGTTGTAATCCAGTTTGGTTTACTGTTAGAAAGCGAGAGTTGCTGTCTGCGGAGCCATTGTGCTGTTGATTTGACCCTGATTCTAAGCGGAAATGAAAGGGTAGGGTGCGGGAAAAGACAAATGTTTGACCGTTTAGGTTACCAAAGGGCCTTTGGCCTAGCGGTATCGTAGATTTTGGCCTCCTAGGAGGTCAGAGGTTCAAACCTCACCAATGGTGAGGAGGGTGTGTAAGTTTATTTGTCGCATTTACCGTATATAAGACAAACGAGTAGCAAATTGTAGATAAAAAAATAATAAATCCAAATTAAATAACAAATTCAAGAACCCTAAAATCAAATAACAACAAATAAAATAAATTTAAATATATAAAAAATAGCAAAATGCAAAAAGTAAGTGGGAATAAAGAAAGAAAAATAATGGTTTATTAAATCAATATCATTAAATTTACAACAAACGAAATTAATGAAATAAAATAACTTCTGTTGGATTAAGACCTTAAGAGTTAGGAGGACATCATAAGAGTTTTACCCTTAAAACAAAATTTCCAACACTTGCATTGAACTTTTTGTTGGGGGCAAGTGCCCCCTACCAAGTAAACATAAATCCAGCCTCGCAACCTGTGTCCTTGACATCAAATGTGAAACAAGAAGTTTTTGTTATATCCTATTATATCTCGCCCCACGTACTAAATGCACCTAAATCAGATTCAGGAAACAGAACTAAGGGGTTGTTTGTTTACCTTTTAATAGTTTCATTAAGATGCAACATTTGAATCGTTAAGAGATGAATCTTGTTTGGCAAAATAAAAGTCTGCTTCTTAATGGTTCTAAAACCCTCTGAATGATTTTATATCATGCATCTCCCTTAACCATTAAGTGCCATAATTTCATTGTACACAATAATCAAACAATTTATATTTCATTTTGCACTATATCATTCTAACCTCTTAATCATTCTAACCACTTAATCATTCAGCATCAAACCAATCAACCAATTGTCAAACAGCCACTAACCAAACAAAAAAATAAGTTAATCCTGGAGGTAGGAGGGGCATAAAATGCAGACTTTTTATTTAAGATAGAAAGACTCTTTTCATGAAAATACTCAGACCGACACAAAAAACAAAACACTAATAATGGGCCACGTGTACACTTTGGCAAAAAGCAAGAAAGCAGTGTATAGACAAAGAAAGGCACCTTGGATTGGGCTTTTTATCAAATTATAATGATAAAAAAAAAATGATGATGATGACATATAACCTTTTATTATGCCACATCTCTTCATCAATCACTCTTTTCAATGCCAATAACACCAAAAACAAAAAATGAAATAAAATGTGGCCATCATACAAATAGCAAAAACCTAAAGAAATCCTGGAAAATGACTTTGGTTCCTAGGCTCACATAATCCATCTAAACAAATGAAATAACACACTCTAAAGAATCCAGAAACAGAATCCCACCACCACAACCACCACCACCATCATCATCACCACCACCACCATGATGGTTGGCAAGATCATAACCACCACCATAGCCATAGCCACCACTCTATCTTTCTTCTTCATTTCAACCCCACCAAAATCCTACTACCATTCACAGTTCATATCTCCATCACTATCAGATAATGCATCAATATCACACCACCTCTTCACCCTTACCCGCCGCCCTCACCTTGCCGGATCTCCGGCCAACGCGGAGGCGGCTTCCTACGTCTTATCAACTCTCTCCTCCAACAACATCAAATCACACCTATCAGAATACGCCGTCTTACTCACTTACCCTGATTCCCGTTCCCTGACGCTAATCCGCCCGTTCCCAGAATCACCCACCACTTTCAATCTCCAGCAGGAGGTCTACAAAGGAGACCCGTATGCTGACGTGGCAGACCAAGTGGAACCCACTTTCCATGCATACGCCAAGTCAGGAACTGTGAAAGGGCTTGTGGCGTACGTGAATTACGGGCGTGTAGAAGACTATGCAATGCTTAAAGAGATGGGGATCAATGTTTCGGATGCCATTGTATTGGCCAGATACGGGAAGATATATAGAGGGGACATCATTGAGAATGCGTATGATGCCGGTGCAATAGGGGTGCTAATTTATACGGATAGGAAAGACTACGGTGGGGGCGGGGGCAATACAAAGTGGTTTCCGGATGACAAGTGGATGCCGCCAAGTGGGGTGCAGGTGGGAACGGTGTTCAATGGGGCAGGTGACCCTACAACACCAGGGTGGCCTAGTACTATTGAGGGTTGTGAGAGATTATCCGTGGATGAAGTGGAGAAAGGAGGAGATGTTCCACTGATACCTTCATTGCCGATATCAGGAGCTGATGGTGAGGAAATTATTAGGTCCATAGGTGGGGTGGTGGCTGATGATGATTGGCAGGGTGATAAAGATGCACCACTTTACAGGATTGGACCGGGGCCGGGAATTGTAGACCTTAGTTATAAGGTACACTAGCAGAAATACTACTCTTGCAGCCTAACAATGAATTTGCCGCTCTACTCCTCAATGTAGAGGTCGACTCTGCACCCCATCTCCACGTGGGATACACACACACACATATATCGAGTTCATACGAGAATGATACCTATTTAATAAAATAAGAGAATGACCGGATCACATGTGATTTTACACTAATATCACCTACAAAATCACATGTGATCTGTGCGACCTTGCCACACAGCCATAGGGTTGCCTACGCACTTTTTTGGCCGTTAATGTAGAATCACATGTGATTTTGTACGTAACTTGGCCATTCTCTTATTTTCTTAAATAGGTACCATTTTTGTAAGAACCAACCTCACATATATATATATATATATATATATATATATATATATATACATACATATATATATATATATATATAGAGAGAGAGAGAGAGAGGGGTTCGGGGGAAAACCCCAAAAAAAATGAAAAACTGAGGAACATCCTGGTAACTGTTCATCTGGATGGTATACACCTGTGCATACGAGTAATTAAGTTGTTTCTTGGTTTTTATGCATGTGTGCATGTCAGATGAACGGTTATCAGTGTGTTCCTCAGTTTTTCATTTTTTTATGGTTTTCCTCTCAACCAGACCCTATATATATGGGAATAGTTTGGTTTGGTAACGTCCAAACCAAACAAGCCTGGTATGTCCCACCCAAAAGTGGGGTCCGAGGGGTTGGATGTATGCAAGTCTGACCTCTACCCCAGAGAGGTTATAAATGAGCAAAAAGACTGGATCTTTCGGTCCGGACCTGTCTTGGACCAGATTGTGACATTATCGGCTGGATGGGCATGACCAGACCCTTGGTCCTTACCCTGCCAGACTCGGACTGGTTTGGACCAGAACGGGCCTTTTCTGGACCGCTTTGACCAGACTAGAGTTTTTAGGACCAGTCTGTGCCTATCTCTAAGAGAGGTAGAACAGCTATTTCTGTGAAGACCCACAGTGCTAAAATTTGAAAAGTGAGGTAGAAGTAAGCAAAGACATTCAAACAGACAGACTACACAATTTTAATCTATAATACAGTAAAATGACAAACTTGATGGTAACTTTTGCTCATTGTTTTAACTGGTCTTGCAGGCAAAAGAAGTCATAAGCACCATTCAGAATGTCATAGGGATAATTGAAGGAGCAGAGGAACCTGATAGGTACTCTATTGTTTGTTTATCTTTCAGTTCCATGAAATAAATTTTTCTGCCAAGTAATAAGATATGCAAAAACGAGAATGCACCGACCTTCTTTACGAATTACATTGTATTAATGAGTAAATAGGGGTACCTTTTACGAAGTTGCATGATTGTTGATTTGTTGATACAAAGCACTTAACTGCACATATCCTGCAGCCAGAACAGATAATGTAATACTTCCTCCGTCCCATAAAAATTGTTACTTGACTTGGGATATAATTGTAGTACAATATTTGATTATTTGTAAAATATCTAAAATACTCATAAATAAGAACAAAAAGTAACCTTCTGGACCCAAATCAATATCATCAACCATTGGTAAATATGAGAATGTTGCAATTTTCATGTGTTAATGACGTTAATTTCACAAGCCCAGAGTATACTTTGTCAATCCAGAAGTGTACAACATAAAGGTTTACATCGAAGTACATTTGTCAATGTGGAAGTGTGTACCAAGTAGATACCAACACAAATTGAATAATCGCTAACCGAGTAAGAGCGCAATCCAGATAAGACTGAAAACAGTTGTTTAACAAGTGTAAGGGTAAGGGCTGACCGAGTAATTGACCAAGTCAGACAACAACCCCTTACTGGGTCAGCATAAATGTGGGTCCGAGTGTGTTGGAAAACAACATTCCTTCTTATCAGGCAAGCACCTCTTACCCAGTAAGAAGTGATCAGCAGATAGTAAACAGCCACTAACTGTGTAAAGCTTGTATCCAGATTTGTTATCCTGGGTAATCACCGGGATGCTTGGACATTTGGAGCTGTTGATCCCAACAGTGGCACTGCAGCACTACTCGAGGTAAATCTATATCACACAGGACTAAAATTCATTAGAACTTGTGCTGATCATCACATGACATTCAGGTTGCAGAAAGGCTAGGGAAGCTACAGAAACAAGGCTGGAAACCTAGAAGAACTATCATCTTTTGCAATTGGGACGCAGAGGAATATGGATTGGTCTCCATCTCTCTCACACAACACATGCAGTAGGAAAAGATGCATCAAAATGCAACAAAGTTTGGTTTAGTTCCTATGGATCAGGTTCAAAGGAAAACCACAAAAAAAATGAAAAATGAGGAACACCCTGGTAACATTCTTTTGGACGGCATGCACATGTGCATACAAGTACTTTGTAAGCAATGTGTCTGGCATGCACACGTGCATAGAATTCAAGAAACGGCTTCAATCACTTGTTTGCACATGTGCATATTGTACAGATGAATGGTTAATAGAGAGTTCCTCAATATTTCATTTTTTGGGGGTTTTCCCCTGAACCTCCCTGTAGTTCCTATTTAGTTAATGAATAATCTTTCTCAATCGATGTAACAAAGTCTCAAAATTTTCTATTTGGTATCCATTTTGACCAAAACCTGCTGATCTTGTAAATTTGATGATGTGGATACCCATTTACAAAAGGTATACGAAAAGGCAGGGATGGACCCAAAACTTTTTTCAAACGATAGCATCATTTGACTAAGAAAATTAGAAAATGACACTGACAGGATTCGGACTCGGGTCTGGGGTGGAAGAAAAGCCTTGCAAACCAACTCTGACAAGGAAAACTTGTTCTCATTGTAGTTTTAGTTGCACCTCTTGAAGTTTCTAAAATAATACGGTTGCACCTTTCACAAACCTAAAAAAATTTACCCTTCAATGAAGGAATAATACGGTGGCACGTGCCACGGTTGGCACCACTACATGTCCATCCCTGCGAAAAGGTTACGACGAAGTGGACGATAGACTTGACATCCACATCATCAAATATTAAAAAATCAGGAGATTACCGTTCAAAATGGATAGAAGAATAGGAAATTTTGTTACTTTAAACATGAAAATTTGAAACATTTTTACATAAATTGAGAAAAAAATTTCTTTGATACTAAATAGGAACTAAGACCAATTTTGTTGCATTTTGATGCATTTTACCCAAGGTAAAATATTACCAAATTTTATGCTGCTTTTCAGGTTGGATCCACAGAGTGGGTTGAAGAAAACCGAGAAATGCTAGCTTCAAAGGTTGTTGCTTACTTAAATGTTGACATTGCGGTTGCTGGACCAGGATTTCAGGCCTCTGCAACTCCGCAGCTTGATCAGCTAATCATAGAAGCTACAAAGCAGGTAAAGAACATGCACATTAACAGATGTAAGTAGTAAGAAATAGCCATATAAACCACAACTCTCCTCTTACTAGGGAAAAGTTCAAATGAGAACCATAAATATCTTGAAAACCCGGTAACCAACTATTTCATGTATTATTCATGATGATCAGGGGTGGAGCCAGAAAATTTATCTAGCGTCGCCTAGAAAAAATGTAAAAAAATTCACAATTTCAAGGTTGAGAAAACCTTTTTAAGCATGTATGTTTCCTAATAATAGTTGTAAAAAAGAGTTGAAAAGCATGAGTGACCTAAACAACATAAATATGTCTACAAGATGTGTGTAGATAACTATATAAATAAGAAAAGTCATTTGAAAATACATGAAATTGATCGTAAAAAAATTGTGTATTCAATAAAGTAATGTGTTTATTTCAGAACCTTCAGAATACTTGGCATTTATAAAGGACGAAAAAGAAGAACCGGTTATGAATAAATAAAGTTTTTAAGTAGGTAATTGAGGTTTGAGACTATATCAAACTTTATTTTTGAAGTTCGAGGGGGAGCCAATGCCACTTCTGGCTCCAAGGTAGCTCTGCCCATGATGATGATAATCCAGAATAATCATGAATATCATGCATTTTTATCACACATATCATATATTTTCATCATTAATATCTATCGTGACATTCATCCTGAATATCTATCACAACATTCATCACGAATAAAGCATAAATAGTTGGTTCCCAGGTTCTCAATATATTTAGGGTTTTTCCATTTGAACCTGCACCCCTCTTACTAAACCAGCAATTATAGACTCTACAGACACAACGAACATAAAAGGATCATTGCATACAAATGGCATTCACTTCATCTCTTACTACCCCCCCCCCATTTTTTTTTTGTTCGCACATAGATGATTGTTTCATCTCCACATTAATTCCATCTGATCATTTTGAAGGTTCAAGACCCAGACAATTCATCACAAACAGTCTACGAATCCTGGGCTCAAGCTAGCAATTATCCTGAGGTAAGTGTTCACCAACGGGTAAAAAGAAAAGTAGAGCTAACACAGAATTGATGTTTAACTTCTAAAGTCACAAGAAAAGCAATACAAATTTGACTATAGTGTAAAAAAAGTTCCGTACCTTAACAAGAATTTGATGAAATGAAGATTGGACGGTTAGGAGGTGGAGGATCAGATTATGCAGCATTTGTACAGCATATTGGTGTCCCAGCGATAGATATATCTTTTGGAAATGGTAAGCTACATAAATTTTCAATTTCCTGAAAATTTATACCAAGTAAACTCGGGGCTTGTTTGTTAGCATCTTAATGAGCTTAACGGGATTCACAGTTTATTCAGTCAGCTATATATGACTATTTGGTAGTGGCTTAATGATATATAAAGTAACTTATTCAGTAAGTTTCTAGGGGGGCTTTATGTAGAAAACCAAGTTTTTACCAAACCTGCCCCTCCTAAATATAAAACATGCTCCTTCCAAAACAAAAACCTTAACAATCTATACAGACAAATTAAAATAGAGACAACTTTATCCATACATGACTTGATAAAAAAACCAACCAAATACTTCAATGCACCCCCCCCCCTTTTCGATATACACACAAGGATAAGGAAAAATAGCAATATAAATATGGAAAATGCAATGATTCATCTTCTTTTCTCCATCTTTTTGTAACGATGGTCCAGATATGTTTACCACATCTTTTGGTTCAAAATGATGATCACCGAACGTGCACTTCATATTTAATTACAACCTTCAGAGAATCTCCATCTTTGAATTAATACCGTGTCCAGTCTTATCAATCAACACTACATCAGAAAAAAGCATACACTATCAAATATCATCTTTTATGGCCCTTATGAGCCCGTGTAAAACTAAATAAAAAAGATTAGGACCCAGCCCTTGATGTAACCGTATCGTAATAAGCAAATCATCCTTCTCATCATTGAATGCTTCCATGCTCATTCAACAGCCCTTGATGAAATGGAAGCATTCAATAATTTCCACATACCTTAGTCTTATCTCTAAGCAAAGAACCACTTTGCATTCAGAGTCCATAATTTTACACTAGAACAGTATTATACCAAATATTAGAGTTAGCTACAGAATATAATCAATTATGACCCGACTATGTGACCCCAACAAACAAAAGACTTTGAAAGAGGACAAACATGAAGCAATTAGCTTTTTCATACATAAATAACGGAAAGACACTAGATAATCAATTATTATCTGAATTAGATCATTGTGCGCACACAACATAAAGTTTACGTCGCCTATGGCATGTAGCTCAGTTGGCAAAGGGGTGCAGTGACTTTGCCCAAATACAACACAAGTCCTAGGTTCGATCCCCCCCCCCCCAAACTAGCCTCAGCCGCTGAGCGAGCCAAATAATACCCCCTCTCATTGGTGTCTTTGGAGGCAGGTTCCGTGTGGGGCTGGTTGGGGTTGCCGGTAATCAACTCTTTGCCCAAATATAAAGTTTATGTCAGCATCCAAATAACGTGGGTGTTATAAGCACCCGTGGAGAAAAGGCTGTGAGTTGCTGCAAGAACAGGCACATGACCATTGACATTTAGGATTCTTTGAATCTGTAGTTAACCTGAAAAAACACTGATAGAAGCCTAATGTAGCCTAACATAATCCATTGAGGATAGTGCTAACATGATGCCAATTACATGCTGCATTAATGGATGTCATTGGTTGGGTAACAAACACTTCTGGGATCTGGTAGAAATATTCCCATAAAAGAACAAGAAGAGACAAGCAACAAATACAATATATTCAATAATATTTGTTAAAACGTTTCTCTATGATAGAATAGCACTAGATTCATAACCAGAAGGCTTGCATTATTTACTTGGTGATTGTTAAACCAAACAAAATGAACCAGTGAATCCCACATGAGGTAAAGTACGGGGAGGGTCCCATGAGCGCAAGACTCTTGCTATAACCTCATACCAACTTTCACATGTGAATAATTTTATTTTTTTGCTGGCTATTAATATAGGTTGCATCCACACAATCTGTTTGAACATTTTCTTAACTTATGGTCAAGGGACACATTTATAGATGTTAAGGACGGATTGGATGCTTTCTTGCAGGCTACCCAGTCTACCATTCCATGTATGATGACTTTGTCTGGATGAGCAACTTTGGCGACCCAATGTTTCGTAGACATGCAGCGGGTATGCTTTATGTATTCTAACTACTTGCAGCATCTGAACTTTCAGGCTTCCCATGAATCAGCTTTAAATTAATAGCTAAGATTTACAGTGTCGTTCAAATAAACTTAGATTTATGCTGTGTTCTCGAGTTCTTTTACGAAGGAAAGGAAGGGAAAGGGAAGGAAAGTAGGAGGGAAAGAAAAAATCTTGTGTTCTCGAGTTTTTTTAAGGAGGGAAAGGAAAGGGAAGGAAAATAATGTTGATTTTCCTCCCAAAACTTTTCTCCCAAATGTGGGAGGAAAGGGAAGTAAAGGAAAAGAGAGAATTTATAAAAACTAAAAATATTTATAGAATTACACATATACCCATCAATTACATTCCACAATAAAGTAAATAAGGGTATATTCGTAAAACTGACATCTTTCCTTTCCTTTCTTTCCTATTCATGAACATGAAAATTTATTTCCTTTCCTTCCGTTCCATTCACTCTCAAGAACACAAATAAAAAAGGTTTATTTCTTTCCCTTTCTTTTCTTTTCCTTCCCCTTTCTTTTCTTTTCCTTCCCCTTTTTTTCTTTTCTTTCCTTCCAAAATTGAAGAACACAGCGTTAAGGTGGTGGTTGATGGATGGCCATAATGCTTGTGGATATCTCAATTTCAGAAGTATCTATGAACTTATGGGAACTTCAAAAAATAAAAATAAAGAGTATCTATACTATTCTTGCATAACCTTTATTTTTATTTTTTTGAAATATATAATATTTATATACGGCAAATAGAACAAATAAACTCACACACCCTCCCCACCTTTGGTGAGGTTTAAGCCCTTGACCTCCTAGGAGGCCAAGGACTCACATACCGCTAGGCCAAAGGCCCTTTGGTTTGCATAACCTTTAATTCTTGGTAATGACTTCCAAAAATTTGACAACAGCGGCCAGCATTTGGGGTTTAGTAGCTCTTCGGCTTGCAGATGAAGTAATTTTGTCTTTCAATTATGATTCCTATGTAAATGAGCTTCAGGTACGTTCATAGACCTGATGCAACTATTGTTGAACAGGTCAAAGCTGTTTATATGAATATACTTGGTGGCAGTTAAGGCATCTCAATATCTTTAATTATTGATACAGAAAAGTGCAGAAGACTTGGACACTCAGTTATTGGATAAGAGCATAACCCTCCTTCCCCTGTTCAAATCTATCGAAAAAATGAAAACAGCAGCCATACAAATAAATGGCGAACTTGAGGTATCACTTCACGTCCTACCAAGAATATGTTTTTTATGCGAACTTGTATTACCATGAATGGACATAAAAAAAGGGAGCTCGAATTTCAGGAAATAAAAGAAAACAAAGGTTGGGCATTCATGTGGAAAAATCAACCTTGGAAACTGAGAAAAATGAATGACAGATTGATGATGGCAGAACGAGCACTTACAGATAGGGAAGGACTCTCTGGAAGACCTTGGTATAAGCATCTGGTATGATGCATCATTTTAATCAGCACGTATGTAAGAATAAATTAATATTTACTGCAGCAAGTTTATGCAGTAAAAAAGTGAACTAGTTAGATTGAAATCTTACCTCCCCCTCCCCACCAGCCTTAGAAACCAAAATGAAAAGGAAAAGAATATTTTGTTACCATCAAATCGATAGTGTGAATGTGACCTTGTTTTGTAAAGGAAGAATCATTTACCTAGGTAATCACCAGGGTCTTCCACATAACTCTTTTTCTCCTGTTATGTACCAAGAGGGAGGTTCAACGGAAAACCCCCAAAAAATGAAAAACGGAGGAACACCCTAGTAACCATTCATCTGGACGGTATGCGCATGTGCATACAAGTAACTGAAACTGTTTTTTGGTTTTTATGCATGTGTGATGTTATGCACATGTGTATACCAGACACATTGCTTATAAATTACTTGTATGCACATGTGCATACCATCCAGATGAACGATTACCAGGGTATTCCTCAGTTTTTTATTTTTTTACGGTTTTCTCAAAAACCTGACCCTATGTACCGAATTATCTAACAATGATCTTGCCTGCATCAGATTTATGGTCCATCAAAGCACAATGATTATGGATCTAAATCCTTCCCTGGAATAGACGATGCTGTTGAAATTGCAAAGAGCCTCAACACTGAAGATTCATGGCATTCAGTACAACATGAAATTTGGAGAGTCTCCAGAGCCATCACACAGGCATCACTAGTTCTTCGTGGTGAACTAACATAAGGACTAGAACATTATTGCACCATCTGGTTTTACAAGGTCAATTTTATGATAAGATATCTTATAATTCTGCTTTACAATATCACATTCAGGCATCAACAGGCTTGACCATGTCATGCCATAGGAAGCTCCAGTTCTGTAGCTCTTTTTTATTGTAACTATAAGTTTCTGTTACAGATTCTTACATCTGTCTTCAGGAAAAAGAATGATGTGAACAATTTGTCAAGCATCCAAAAAACAGTTAAATGGATTACTAGTGAGACACTTTACGGTCTGATCGTGTACCATGGTAATGTGGACTCAAAAAACAGAGTGAAAAAGATAACCACCCCAATTTTGGTGAAGGCCACATGAAATGATGATCATTTGATACCTGAACAGGATATTCATAAGCCAACTAAACTATTAATAAATAAATAAATATTAAAAGAGAATTTGTATCAAGTTCAAACATGGGATAACACAGTTTATCCACATAGGGTGGGGAAGGCCGCAAAAAAATCTAAAACTGAGGTATAGCCCCGTAACCAATCATCTGAATGGTATGCACATGTGCATACAAGTAATTTGTAAGCTCCAGTATGCACATGTGCATAAAAACCAAGAAACAGCTTCAATTACTTGTATGCACATGTGCATACCTTCCGGATAATGGTTACCAGATAGTTCCTCAGTTTTCATTTTTTTGGGGGTTTTCCCCTGAACCTCCCTCTATCTACATATTACTATTTTATGGTTAAAAGGGTGGGTGGAGATGATGCCATCTTGAAGAGATATCAAGTAATGATCTTCATCATGTGAGGCATTCCTCCAGTATATCTAACAGCACAACCAGTGAACAAATGCCTATCATTCATTACCCATATGGAAAAAATGTACATGTTGTACAAGTAAATCAGGGGAAAGATCATATAAGTTACCAATCGTTATAGTGGGTACAGGACCTGATAACCTTAATGGTAACCAGACCTAAACTAATATACAGTTTTAGGCAGCACTAAAGCTAAATATGTACAAGTTATCACTTTTATAATCCTCTACTTCCAAACCTTGATGGTGCCATCTCTGCTGCTTGATAACAGTAGTCTCTGGTTCAACTTGACAGAAGCCAGAGAGAGGATAGCGTCACGGTGACAGCCACCTGAATCAGTGGCAGCAGCTGCAAGAACTGCTTTTCCAGTCAGCCTAGTTGCCAAAGATCGTCTCTTTGCCTCCTATTAGAAAAGTGCAACTCATGTCAGACTTACTAAACACCTTAAGATTTTATACAATAATGCAAATATACAATAATAAGTTACAATATACATGATTCCCCTCAACTCCTACAGCATGGATTATGGGGATAGATAAGAACTAATCCAACCTTTATGCCAACTAAAAAGAAGGTGAAGTAAATTAGAATAAGAATTCATATTAGAACGGAGAAAGTGAGGTAAATAGAAAAACAGCTTTTCATAAGCAAATAAAGCAACAATGCTAATCCTATTATTGATATTTACATACAATTGAAGTCTTAACAACCTAAAAGTTAGGATTCTCTTGCAAATACGATTTAATACTATTTCCACAAGTTTCTTACATCTGCCACTGTCGCCTTTCCTAAAAACCTGGACTCTACAACTGAGAATGACGGAAGCTAAGCACCATCATTATGTAAGTTATGATGTCAATCCACCCACTGTTGCCTTGCAGTTCACCACTAATGAGTTTTCTTAATACTTATAGGCAAACTCTCATAGTGATGAAAGAAACATATGCATAACCAATACTGGCTGCCCTATAATGGTTTTCTGAACGTTCTTACCTACTCCAATAATTCATACACATGATGAACCAATAACCAATAGCATCAAGGAACTTCATATCCACATTTATTTTTGCATTTTTTTGGGAAGGTGGAGGGGGTTTAAAATCAAAGAAATTGACAGACCTGCACGATTTGCACCCCAAAACTGGATTTTGTTTCATAGAATTCCTCATTTCCAACTCCCTTAATGGATGGACCACAGATGCAATAACTTCTCTCTGGGCTGCATTATTGAAGAAGCAGGGGTCAGTGGTCATAGAAGTGTTGAGACAACCAAATGAAAAGAAGAAGAAGAAGAAGAAGAAGAAGAAGAAGAAGAAGAAGAAGAAGAAGAAGAAACAAAAACCTGCAATGATCCCATCGACGAATTTTTAAGTCGGTGCCACCAGTTAACAAATCTCCTCCAGGTAACGCAAGCAACGAACGGATTCCAGGAGATTGGGGAGAAGGTTCATTCAGCTCATCTATTCTGTACTTAAAATTCACACTCCTCCTGGAATCTGCTTTAGAATTCGTCTTGCTAGATGGTCTGGCCAAGGCCCAAGGCAGGTTAGAGATCTCAGCATCACCGTCATTATTTGCAACCCTCAATACCTGCAGAGAAGAAAACAAACCAGCAGTATATTAATTATGCCTAAAAAAGTAAAGACGCTAAAAGTAAGAGAAGACAGCTAATAAGCTTTGAAGACTAGAACAACATTTTTGCCAACTTTACAAAAAAACTTTCACCTAATATAGCTTACTAAAAAAACATTTTATAAACTTGTGGAACTCAATAAGTTGTCCAGTGAAGGCCAAATGTTAATGCTGTACCTGGTGACAACTCCCATTTTCTGCATTCCACAGAGAAACTTCATTACAGCCTGCTGCAACATATACAAGGGGCCTCACTGTTGTAGATAATGAGGTACTCTGAGGAGGAACAAAAAGACACAAATCCTCAATAGGGCATGCAACAGAATATTGCCATGAGTTGACGGGTATACCAAATCTCAGATCCCATAACGTAAGAACACCCCTAGAAGATCCAGAGACAAACCAATTCCCACAGGGACTTGTGACAAGAGCAGACACATAGCCTTCCTCAGGGATCACTTTTGTAGTCCATGAGTTTGAGTTTTCTCTTGTATCACATAGATGAATGCCACAATTCTGGGTGCTATACAGAATCATTTTACCATCATCACAACCTGAAGAGTAGTTTAAGAGGGTAAGAATCGCACCTTCTCCAATGCTATTCTTCTTAACATCAGCAATTCCTGAATACTTCTCTACAACACTACCAAGTCCTCTGGAGACATAATCAACTGAAAACATATGAATTGTGCCATCGGAAGATCCAACAACAACTTGGGCAGAGCCATGGAGCATTGTAGCACAGAGTGCTCGGCTTCCCTCTAGACAATAAGTTAGCCTTGATCTAAATGAGATGTCCTTCTCCAATTTCCTAGAATCCCACACCTTAACAGTAGAATCATCAGATGCACTCACAAAAAAGCTATGGTCTGTTGAAACGGCTATGTCATTGACAGCAGAACGATGTTCCTGAAGGTGTGCAACCAACACCCCAGAAGGCCTCCACCCTGAATCTGGAACTAACGGGGTTCGGGCAAAAGATGGCAATCCTGCTATCTCGGTAGGAGAGGAGTTATCATCTACAATAGAGCTCCCTTTTAGAGAACTACAGACTCCCGTGTCTTGAAGTTTGTTGCTGAGATGGGATGTCTGATCCGATTCCCTATCTTCCAACTCGTGTACCACTCTATGAAGTTGAGGAGAACTATTAGCAATGCCAATTGAGCTTGAGACAAGCTTAGGAGTTGGAACTGAACTAGCCAAGGTAAAGGACTTGTTAACACGATCCTTCTGAGGAATGGATAATGAACCAGAACCTAAGGCATCCAATGTTAATGAAGATTCAGGAGCAGATGGAGCCTTTCCTACTGCTCTTTTGTTATCATATTTAAAGTAGTACAACGGTATACCTTCTGAAGATTTATCACCAACCAAACTGGTTGCACCACTTATTTGTGGGGACATAAAGCCAGAAAACTTCAACTTATCTGAAAATAGGGGATCCAAAATATCAACTGTGCCAGAAGCACTATGAGCAAAGCTTCCAATGGATCTCAACTTAGCCTCGACATCATTTTCACCAAGACTAAGTGACTGCATGGTGCTGCTAACAGACTTATGATCCTGAAGACCAGGTCGCCGGTCAGACCACATCTTCATCTGATCCAACTCTCGGACACCTTTCTGGTACAGGTCGTCATTTTCCAAATGTTTGGACTGTGCAGGTGAGTTGTACCATATCTTCCTCTGCCTTTCTAACATGTCTGAACTCCTGTTGTTTTCTAAGATTTGGTAAAATACCTGTCTTAAGACTGGCGGCTTTAAACATGAAAAAAGAGCTCTTTCAGAAGTTAAAGAAGCTGGTTGTCTACGGAGAAAAGGGCGAATAATTGGAACAAGAAACACATAAGAATCAATGGCACCTAGGCTCTCACTACTAGCTGCAATAAAGGTTACTACTGACCTTCTTACCCATTGACTAGGATAACATAACAGCGGGAATGCATGTTCGATCATCTCAAGCAATATTCTTTTGCGCAGAAAACCACTTGTGCACAGAATGGCCAAGCAATATAGTGCATTGACTATGACTGCCTCCGTTGAATCACCTAATGCCTGTTCAAGATATGGTAAAAGATACTCCTCAACACTTCGTTGACCAACAAAGAAGCAAACATAAATTATCTGCCTGTAGAACACTGATCTTAGGAGCTCGTCTTGATCGTTAAGAAATGCAGGAAGGATGGGTAACAAAAAGTCATTGCTCTGTCTCTGACCAAAGAACCAGCAAAGGTTGCCAATATCTTGCAAGAGTGCTCTCCTAATATTTGGAGTTTGCTTTGGACCCATTACAAGTTCTTGAATAACCTCAGCTATGGATTTCCTCAACTGTGCAAGCTGTGCATCATTTTTTTGATTCTGCAAGCGTCCAGGTATTTCATGGGAGACTTCCGACTTCTGCCCTGAACTTAAATCGTTAAGAACCCCTGCCTCTGTCAAGCTTATTGAGTGAATTAAAAAGCCATAAGCAGTTAGGGCCAGCTTAGAAATATTGCTGGCATAGCAGATCCGCACACTTTCCTCTGGATCATCAGGAAGCATGGAAAGCATAGGAAGAATATACTCTGGAAAGATTTTAGCATCGCTCGGAGGAAAATCTCGGACTAAAGGCAGGATGTCACACAGAGTTTCCAAGGCAGCCGATCGAACGATTGCAGCGGAATCAGAAAGCATTGCAATCACATATGGAAGCACTCGTTGCAATCGATCTTCATCATCTATATATAATGAGCATGACTTCAATAAAAGCACAGCACTCCTCCTAAGTTGAGGCATCTTGACATTGCGAATACAAGAACAGAGCAGTGAGGCAATCAAAACCATCCCTTCACAACTCATACTATCCTGTGGTAATGGAAAAAATGGCATCCCAAAGGTATCTGACTGATTGTCATAATCAGACATCAAAGAATTCAAATCACTAATCATGATCTCTTTCAGACATGGATGGTGATTCCTTTTGAATACATTGGAGATGGTTTGAAGTAGCTTTCCAGCAGATTGAACGGCAAATCGTTTGTGATTATGAGTATTTTCAGAAAATATAACATCCTCCGCTTTTGGTTTTATGTCAGTATAATGATTATCTACTTCCCCATAAAGTTCATAATGACCAGGAGTCAAATCTTTCTCCTCCTCCATCTGTGAGGTTTTTTTTGTCAAACCCAAATTCTCTCTAGAATCCATCACTTGTGATAATTGGCGATCTATAACATTTATAGGAGAGTTCAGTCCAACAACAGTCTCCTCACCTGCTCTGTTGCTTAACATCTGTTTAAGAATTTCTGGAAAAGATAGCTGGCACATGGCTACCTGTATCAAACGATAAAAGAGTGGCTGCGAATTTTATACTGGTTAAATGACGACTGACCTTGGAATAAAATAGAGATTGGATCTTTCTTACCCTAGAATCAGGGCTGATCTGATTCAAATTTGAATATAAGTTATGCAGGAATGGTGAGAAGTAGCATGGAAGCACAACACCTGCATAGCTCTGCAGGTAGTTCTCAGCAGAACATCGTGAATTAGGATCAAGCTTAACCATATGAAGAATCATCTTGCGGATTCCTGAGTCTGGAATCTGCACCATATAATTAATAACGAATTTTATAGCGAAATCCATGCTTTAATGAATTTGACAGAGCGATAAGGCTATTTTAAATAAATTAGAGATATCTATCTAATGTAACTACTTGCTAAAGAAAAGGATATGTCTGCCTATTTGAATAAATATTCTACCTAATTTGTACAACTACCTAAGGCATAATTTTCCACTACTTGATACAAATTTTAATTACAACATATCTACATAATGAACAAACATCCATTCAAGATAACGTTTAGCCAACACGGCAACACCAAGTGGATTACCATTTCAAACCACCATACTTGGACTCCGTTTCTATACAACATACTATTGAAAAAGAGCACTCAAGTTGACAAAACAAAAGAAATGTTACGCTTGGCCAAACAAATAGAAAGAAAGAGACACTCCCAACTAGAGTGTTGCCAAGTGCCAAGTAGAGTGTTCTTTTTTCCTTTTCCATTTTTTGTGTCTTTGCAAGTATGTTGGTTCTTGAGCAATGAAGTGCTAAGTACAATGGCTCAGAACGCTAAATAGTCTCATACCAGTAGTCGTCAGAAACTCACAGATACTATAATGATTAATACATAATGTAAAAATAGAATTTAATATAATCAAAAAGAAAAGGAGGGAAAACATGAGAGGGGAAAGAAAAGGATAAGTCAATATAGCAAAAGTGTACCTTCTCCAAATGTTGGCTAGGATCAAATTGCCCCCTTCGATATGCAAGCAGTTGTGATAGTTCAAAGAGGGGTTGACCCTCAAGGAAAAGTTCTGCAATGACACACCTGTACCAACAAGCAGATAAGTGCATCGTGAGGGAAGAAACTTTATGTAAAAATATTAGAAATATTTGTAAATAGAAATTAATTAGGATTCATCTGTTTCATTATTTAGAATATTAGAATATTATTTTCAATTCTATATAGCAGTCGTACATATCTGCTATAAAAGATTAGTTTCAGTTGCAGGGATTCCTTTTCCTGATTTCAGGATTCTAAAAATGGCCTATGTGCCTTTCTCTTTTGTAAGAAGAAAGCTAAAGAAATCCACACTCTATAACAAAGATTATTCTTAGAACCATAATGATAATTATGTAAATCCCTTGGGTATAAACCTTAGAGTTTTTATGGTTCATCCTATGACCTAACATCATACAGTATTTATTTCTTTCAAAAACATCGTACAGTATTTATTTATTGATTATCTATAGGAATGAACATACTTTCCTACTCCCTATTTACATGATACAGAGCTACACCTCTCGGTATAAACCCTGGCCCTCAAAACGCAGCCATTGGGTATGCCCTCTGCACCTCTCACCTCAATAGGTTGTGCAACTCTCAAAGGTGAACAGTAATTGCCTCCTAGGACTTGATCGTTTCATTCAGCAATGACGCTCTACTTCACTGCCTTTGTCATCATGATCAGAACCAAACTGCTGTAGTTCCAGATAGCTGCTGCTGTTGTGATCTATCACAATCATGAGACAGAATTTCGCAAAATATAACACAAGTTGGCCCAATGATCTAACCAAACAGCTTTATTCAGTCTTCTGGTTTTCTATATATAATTTGATGTTGACAAGTTGACCCATTGATGTTCTTCTGATTTTATGTACTCATTGTTCATTCTTACACCGGAGATCACACTTTAACTAACTATGGTTTAATTCATGCTTGAGTAAATCTGAATTCTCTTGATTGGAATTTAATATTATTTTTGTTATTATACGGGTTTGCCTCACTAGTAAGATGACATGATGTTTGTTCAACTATGTAGATAATCCTTGGCTTTATTGAAGTGTACTGAGGTTTTGCACGCTGTGGAGTTCTTTATTATATCTAGTACTCATTATTCTTTTGTATTTTCTTGTCCTAGGGAAGATAAAGCCAAGTAAGGTGCTAGATACTTCTTGCTCAGTTGGAAATATTAAAAATTTATGTGTCCAAAAGCTACCGCACTGTGAGCAAGACTACAAATCTGGAAGCATCTTGTAGCCACCTTTATTGGTTCTGCCAATATGGCCCATGCAAGCTCAACATCTCATGTATATTCATGGTGCTCTCGTGGTGAATGGTCCTTGTTTGAATTTCGCACTATAAGCATGGGGTGATGACCTTGAAGACCTTTGATCCATTGAGTTCACATGGTTTAGAGGACATTAGGACAAGTTGCATAACCGTAACTCAATTGATGGATTGTCTTTCAACTAAAATTTCGTTATTAGCTGATTAGCATGAATATCTACATTTACCACCTATCAAAAACCCAAACTAGCATGTTATATCAAAAACCAAAAAAGTTGTAACTAACAAGAAAAAGCTTACCCAACAGAAAATATGTCCATTGATGGCCTTAAAGGTGCATCTTGTGCAATTTGAATCTCACCTCCATGCTCATAAAATCTCTAAACATCAATGATAAGGTCAGCAAACCCTATAGCTATGAACATGTGAGACAGTTAATAAATATCATATAAGCATGAATGATAGTTAAAAGAGTACAGGAATGTGCAAAATAATTAAATGCAAACACTGCTGGGAAACCTTCCACCAGGACCACTTCTAAGCAATCATAGAAGGGACAAAAATTAAGATCAACCTTTGCTCAAGGTACGGTGTTTCCATAATTAAGCGTGATACAGACGGAAGAAGCTACTATACCCAAGTTCCAAGCCACGGATCTTGATATATCTAACAAGTAGTTGACTATCAAACTTTGACCTTACATATCAACTGGTAATTTGCATGAAGTGGCACTCCAGAAAGGAGGAGTGCAATTTATCATGGGAAAGAGAAAACATTTACCCATATGTTGTTACCATTTTGAAGCATTGGAAAAAGTGCAATTCACATAATAATCATCACCAGTCAATATAATAAATTTTTATAATTTCTAAAATTATCTTGTTAAATTTTGCAGTATCTTTTATATAAAGACAATTACATCATTGATCGACACAAAGACTATAACAAAATAATAGTTCCATCTGGCATGGCTCCAAGTTAGAGCTATAAACTGGGTACCATCCATAATCCTATTCTCTTTGTTTATTTGTTTTTTATTGTTACGGACAACATTTATTTCAGTTTGGCCATGAGGTCAGAGACTTCAAATCCTTTTTCTTGCAATCAACGATCGTCACCAGAACTCTCTCTCTCTCTCTCTCGCACACACACAGCACTGGTATTTGTAATCACACCTCAAGAAACAGCACACAGTTGTCACCAATACCAACACAACACAACCCAACCAATACCACAACCTGTAGTATGTCCAGCACTATGAACACAACCATCTTACAGTTTATGTTCCTAAAATATTTGGACTTAGATGGAAAATGCAAAAACGAATGCATAGCAATTCGTCCAACAAGATTGAATAATGATTTGGTAGCTAAATGCATAATATATTCACTAACAAAACATTTTCTGCTTGAGGACATGTTCTATATATCAATCAACTATAGTTATTAATTGTCTTCATAAAAAGCATGAACTGAAAAAAGAAAGTAATAACTTGTAAAGATCAAATACTTTCAGACAATAGACATCGTTCACCTCCATTCCAAAAATGTAAATGCACGTCCCTTTCTAAGTTATGAGATAATTGCACTTATAACTGAGGACATAGGGAGTACCAGGCACATTCAATAGCTTAAAGGAAAATTGTTGATCACTCCTCTTGGAAACTTACAAGGCAGGTGCTCTTATAATTGAAACATAGAGAGTCGTGGAGGACAATTATAAAGTTGAGGTAAATGGAAATTCATAAATTTAATGTAAAACGAAGAAGCAAACAAGATAGACAAAAAGTAAACTCACCTCCGGTGCAAGATAGCAGCGCCTCCTTCCTCCAGTGTCAAAGAAAAACGAGAAATCAGAGGGATCATCATAAGGAATGTAGGTTGGTTTAAATGATGCAAAGTCGGCAAGGTAAAGCCAGTTCCAAGAAGTAACCAGCACATTTTCACATTTGATATCACCTGCAGAAATATTTACATTACACCACTGACCACAGAAACAATAGATAAGAGCTACAATTAATGAGCGCTTCAAATCAATGAGCTCACCATGACAAACTCCATTGTCATGACTCTGTTTCACTGCATAAAGCAACTACACAACAAGAACTGTTAAGAAACGTAGTCCTGATACCCGTATGGTAACAATGAAATCATCAATATCGTAGCTAACAGGAATAAAGGGGAAACCTGGAAAGCCAACCATTTCTTCTCAACAAGACTGAGGAAAGGTCGCGTACTCAGTCGATCATGAAGGTTATTGAAGAAGTATTGCCTCAACAAGTAAGCAGCTTTATCGGTCTCAAGCCAAAACTGCGATATATTTCATTGATTCATTCATAAAGTTTATTCTTAAAAAAGAAAATTCATCACAAAAAAATTTATGTAAGCTCCTATGTGTGTGTTCCTTAACTTTTATCAGGGGCGTCAACCAAGGACTACTTAAGACGCACACACACACACACGACATACGTGAATCTGAATGGAAATGGGAGATTAATCTGGCCCCATTGCTAATAAACCCACACACACTTGAAACCAATTATCCGTCCATTCTAAAAGAGTGTTGCATTGTGGTTGTAGATGCCAAATTTGGAAAACGGAAATCCTTGTAAATGAGATTTCCATTAACAGCAATTAGCAGCTCCAGCTACTGTTAAATGAGATTGCAATTTTAAACAGCAAAACATACATGAGTAAATGCAACAAGAACAAGAAAATAGACCGGAAATTTTTATGTATGTTTCTTTTGCCTTTTTGCATGTAAAAAACAAATACCCTTAGAAAAACTCGGTGCACATAATGTAGCTATCATCTTTTCAAGAAGTGTAAGATTCACATCAATTTTGCCATTTTGAAAAGTAACTCCTTTGACACATGACGATGTAGTGTAGTTCTTGGGCAGGAAAGGAGTCTATGATACAATAAGGGTCCTCAACTTCGAAACATGATGATCATATCGATCCCTACATTCAATTCAACTTCACAATATAAATAAAAAATGTCGATCCTTTAATCTTCAATTAGCTTCCCCTAGTCATTCAGATAGCGTAAATAATGAGAATTATATAATTTAACAAACCTGAAATGACCAAACGTGAGGGTTCTCAATACGGCTAAAAATCTCACGAATCTGAGTCAATCTTCGTTCATAATCCCGAAGATCAATCGAGTCACCACGCTTGAAATAAACCTTGACTAAAACCAATCCTTCATCATGCTTACACTGTATGGATTTCAGGAACCGTGCTCTTCCCAACACCTCTTTCAGTACCAAATTGTAGGAAGACGGCAGGTCATGAAGGTAATACTCCGTCGCCGAAGCTTGCGTCGTACGAGCGATCTTATTCCCCATGTTCAATCCAATTCAAAGAGTAATTTTACCAATTCAAACAGATTAAAGCGAATTGTGGTACTAGGGTTTCAGAGTGAGTAATTACGAGTGATTTTTACAGAGAACCTGATCGAATTCCACCATGATTCTGCCATTCCAGACGATCTGAGTGAAGAAGATTGGAGTTTTGATCGATCGGATACGTGGGAGCCCAGCAATTGGAGGAGATGGAAGGATCTGAAGTTGGGGAACAGAAAGATGGTTACAAATAGGAGCAGCGTGGTCGTTAGCTTTGAACAAGAGCACGTTTGGATCACGTGATCGAATATAAACTCGATAAATATTTTAAATACTTGTAAATCAATTTATAATATTTTGTATTTTTTTTACGTGTCTTTTATGTATAAAAGTATTTTTGTGTTATTTATATTTTGAGTTTTTTATATATAAAATAATATTATATAAATATTACATGTTAATGTACTTTGACCTGTATTTTTTTCTTGTTAACCATAACTATTCAGGTTAATTTGTGCACAACTCGATTAATCTCATATTTCTAAAGAACGGTCAGAGAAATCCTTCATGGTCTTGCAGGACTTAAAACCTCTAAAAAATATCCTTAAATACTCAAGTTTTATTATCAGTTAAGCTAACCCTACAAAATTTATAATGTTTTTATACATATAGTTTATAATATTTATTGGATCTTTATTTGATTCGTGCTCTCTTCTGCAACACATATCAAGGGTGAACCTAATATTTCAAGGGATGTGATTAGACGAGTGGTTTAAACTATAAACTAAAAACATCCCTCTATTTTTTTAATCGAAAGTAGACGAAATATAACAAAATTAAAACGAAACAAATTACACAAAAACCGATCTTTTTATTCTTTTAATTTAAGATGCATATCAATAAGACTTCTCAAATACTACTTTTATGGTTGTTCGATTCTTTTTTTGAGCCTCCTTGCATACAAACTCGTTGATTGATACACACATGTGAATATACATATCATGGCCATTGTTTTAACCATCGTAATCACAATGCATATATATATATATATATATATACCCCATTATATAAAGGCATATATGCAAAGATTATAGATACAGATTCACACGTGAAGTTTCTTGGTTAACATACATGTGAATATGCATGTTATGGACATTGTTTTAAGCATTCTGATTACGAAGCTGCCATTGGTTTTTTCATTGTGGATATCCGAGAATCGCACCGACTATTCTTTTAACCACCATCAATGGCCTGCAATCATAGTGTAGTATCTAGATTCGAATAGGAAAAGATGCAGATTTTCACTACATGGGGTCTTAACCAGTTTGCCACAATCCATGTAATTTATACTATCATTGTTGTTCACTTGTTCCTCCGATCTTGCGCCATTTTTCTTCAATTCCCAATCGAAGCATCTTCAGAACCAAATAAAAAAAACAATGTTAAGATTGTATGCTAAAATATATGGAATGAATCACAAGTCCTTAGGAATCATCTCTTCAATGTTTCACTGTCGTTGACGTTGGATGACCTTTATGGTTTTCAAATATCAAGTTCCAGATCATTATGAAATAATTTTCAAGGATGTGGTAAATTGTAATCAATGAAGTGGGGTTTCAGAATTCAGAAGCCACAGAAGAAGACGCTCTGTTTTGGATAGATATGCAATTGAAAAAGAAGACTTGAATCAACAACGATCCGTTTCATCTACCGATTTTCAATAACGATGTACAACGTTAAGCATCAGAGTATTATCCATCATCAAATTCTAGTAATAATTTCACCATTTTTGATTAAAAACTTGAAGAACATCAGATCACGATGGATCCGAACGATATGTTTGCTAAAAATGTGCTATTAATAAATTAATCAAAATCATCAGGATGGAATAGGAAACCTAGTCACCATCATTCCTTGATTAATCATGTTAAGAACATCAGATCACGACGGATTCAAACATAAACGCTAGATCCATCTAAATTCACGAAAATAACAGAAATCGAAATCGTTATTCATACGCCAATACGATCCGTACTTTTTACATCAGATCCGATCACAAAGTGACGACGGAATCTTACTCGATTAGGCGATGTTGTCGATTGATTCGAGATCATCAGAGATAGCAACCTTAGCATCAACAACAACTATTCGGTCAAATCCTTCTAATTCGGCTGAAGAGAAATTAGTATCACCTGACCAAGTGAACTTACCGCCATGACCTCCTTTTTTCGGCGATCCGTTCACGCCGGTGGCCGATTTCCTATCCTTTCGAGCTTCCTGGCCGTACTTTCCGCCAGATCTGATACTTTTTCCGGTGTTCTTCATCTCTCACTCTCTACTTTATGCTCTCACTCTGAGTGTGGATTATAGAAAATTGAAGGGAGATGAAGAAGGTATTTATGGGAGAGAGAGCTTCCAAAGTGTGGATGAGGGGCACGTGATGTATGACGATGACAACCAAACCAAAAGGATAAGATCAACCCTTTTTCAATAATATTTTGCACATTGTTTTAAATTTGTTGAATATTTTATTAGGCTAAATGACAATAAATTTTTAAGAAATTAATTGAATAAATTGAATGAAAAAGTAAGATACTTTACATTGATTTTTATTTTATGTAACGTATTTTTAAAACTTTTATTTTGATATTTAAGATATAAAGATTTAAATATTTAAATACTTAGGTAACCGATTGAAACATTAACCGATTACCATGCTGCTGTGGTGAATGATGTGATAACTAACTCATTATTATTTGTTATTCAACCAAATTTCATCCTATCACTCATCACATCAGCATAGTAACCGGTTAATGCTTCAACCGATTATACGAGTATTTAAATGTTTAAAATTTTACATCTTAGATATCAAAATGAAAGTTTTCAAAGTACGTTACCCAAAATAAGAATCAAGTACGTTACTTTTCAATGCAACTTACACAAATTAATTAAAATAACCGATCTTTTCAACCAATTTCATATATTTAGCTACTTTTTGCATTGAACTGATTTAACCCAAAGTTTAATAGTTGATCTTTTCAATCAAATTCATTTTCTAACCACTTTTCACATTGAATTGATTTTAACCAAGGTTTACGTAAATTTCTTATGCATTTACGTAAATTTTGGCAAAAATCAAAATTCAATATGAAAAGTGGTTAAAAAAACGAATTTGGTTGAAAATTTTGGCTATTTTGATCAATTTTCTTGTATTATTAGTTTAAAAAATATTATTATTTAGCATTTTCATAAAACTTATTTTTTTTTAAAAATCTTTACTCAATTCTTTTACACAAATGGGGATTCTTAGACAAATGAGGATTCTTTTGTAAATTTGCGTATTTTTTTTTATTCTAAAAATAGGTGTCACGCAAATGCGTAAGATATTTGCGTAAATACCAATTAAAAAAGGAATTTTACAGGTTCAAATCTAAGAAGCAATAAAAATCCTCTTGCGGCCATGGAGGTTCAAATGCGATGACTCCGGGCTATCTGCAAAGCAGGTAGTCGTCTTGGGATTAGTCGGCTAATATAACGGGTTGGATATCCAGGTTAATAAAAAAAAAAAAAATTGATTGAAATATGGTTAAAAGGTGAATTTGATTGAGGGATTAACCATTTTGGACAATTTTCCAATAATCTTAATGTGCAACTTTTAGGAGTATAGAAAGTTATTAAATTCAATTAAAAATGATCGATCACAATTATATATCCAATTATAATTGGATTGAATCGGATACAAAATTTCAATATCAAAATTTGGATAGGCCAAAAATTGGTAGGTAGTCAAGAATCTTATAAAACCGAATTGATTCAATCCAGACAACATTCCTTCAATCGTCCGATTATATCTGGTTACTTGGTTTTTTAGGGACTCTGTAACCTTTCAAAATTCAAAGCAACAGTCTGATCCAATAATTTTGAACTCAAATTAAAATCATGGTAAAAGTTATTGGTAATCCGCAATATTAAGATTTGAAGAGCTCATCAATCTATTTTTCTATCAACGTGGAACGAGTTACTACAGACCTTCTACAACTAGGATCAGTTGTAGAAGCACCGACAGAGATTGAGCCGTTTGAGATACGTTTAAACTCCCGGTCAAGAATACTAAGGCCCCACAGATACATTTTATTAAACATATATCATCTTTAATTCTATTAGACCCTTGTATGATTATATCACATAATACAACTACTAAACCCTCAAAAACAAATAAACCCCATAAGTTGTACATATTGTTTTCATATAATACAACATTACAAATATTAACCATCAGGGTGGTGTCCGATTGGTTTGAGCTAGGGCTCCAAAGGTCAAAAGTGTCTGGAGGTTCCAGGTTTGAGTCCAAGGAGGAATAAAAATCCCCTCGTATGGGTTAAGTTGTCTATCCAGATAAATCCGACTGTCTGGCAAGAGACCAATGGTTTAAGGGACGCAAAAGTAGAGGATGGGATTATTTTTAGGCAATTCTTGTATTAATTTGTTTGAGTTGGCTTAATAGGGACAAGCAAGGGGTCCATGGTTAATTTTTTGGCTTGATGATTAAGCCGTAAAGAAACACTCCTTAATGGCTAAGCATATAAGCCACCCAGACCATTAGGTTCATTAAGTTGTAAGTAAATAACCCCTAAAATAAAATTATGGACACTTATTTTGGGACGTAGGGAGTAACAAAGAACTTTTCCTAAAAGATATGATAATAAAGAACTTTGCATGCATTCATTGTTGTAACAAGTATCGAACATTTGATAAAACTCGATCTATGAAATACTATACGATTGTTTGTTATATCATAGCAAACATGTGAGCTAATTATACACTGTTACAAGACACGTTACCTCGTGAAATTCATCGGGGGTTCCAAGCAACCAATCAGAATATCAAGATCAATGTCCTTGTCCTCGAACTTCTTGATGAACGGATGACTCTAAAAAAGCGAGAAGAAAGAAGAAGTTAAAAAGTTATTAACAAAATGCACAAATTAGTGAAGTTTCTGAAGAGAAGTTGCACTAACCAAAAGGTCTAAAGCCGATGATCTATCTTTAGGGTCTTTCTGTATGCTGCATAATCATACACAAGGGTAAGAACTAGAACTGCCATGATGTTGTGGAAAAAGGGTTTGTGCTACCCTTTAGAGCGTCCACACCGTAACGTTCCCACGACATCACTAGGAAGGTCGTTGTGTCCAAGGGCAAAGTAGGCGGAGTTGGATTTAAAAAATCATATAAAATGAAAAATCGAGGGACACCCTGGTAACCAACCATTCATCTGGCCGGTATGCACATGTACTTGCAAGTAATTGAAGTTGTTTCTTGGTTTGTATGCACTTCTGCATGTTATGCATATATGCATACCAGAGTGTTCCTCAGTTTTTCATTTTTTCTGGGGGTTCCCTTGAACCTCCCTCTATATATATATATATATATATATATATATATATATATATATATATATATATATATATATAGGGGTTAGGATCACGTGAAAAATAATCTTTTGGTGAGAACACGGATCTTCATGCATCTACCTTCATCACATTCATCCACGTGCATTCACACACCATTTACCTACTTGTATCATCATGACTCAAAAACTTTAACAAATTTGTGCATTTGGTGGTGATTGAAAATATGTGAAAGTTAGTGAAGTTGACCGAAGGTGAAGGAAGATGGTGAAGGTGGAAAATGTACATAAAATCCGTGTTTTTTGTGAGCTATCACATAAAAAAAAACCATCTAAAAGCTTAGGAGTATTCTGACCAAGAAATTTTTTCTTACATGATCCCAACTCTATTTATCTATTTGTGTGTGTATGTGAAGAAATGTCGCGAGTGTCCTCATCTTATCTCTTTCTAGAGTTGAGGTCGTTAAGATTATTATAACTTTTATCATAAATACAAACCTTAAAAGAGGAATAAGATCAACCACAATGGTTGTGGCGTATTGGTTGAGGCCCCGGGGATGTGGTGGAATATCCCATCTGCCCCGGGCTCAATTTCATGCATCCACAACAATTGTGGCCACCGAGTTTATCAGGTTTGATGTCTTACGGTCACAATTTACTGAGATTAGAGTGGGCATAGCCTAGGACACCCTTCCAAAAAAAAAAAAAGAGGAATAAGACGAAGTTAATAACAATCTCAAGATTCCCACTTCATACCAGGTAGAAACAAACGAACAGAACTCCGGTGAAAACTGATCGGGCGGTGCAGAAGGCGGTGGCTTTGCGACAATAGCCTCCAAAAGCTCATAAAAACTTGGCCAAACTTGATGATCTTCAGATTGTAAATATGGAAATCGTCCTATAGCACACTCGAGGATCACCAGGCCCAAACTCCATATGTCACTTTTATAGTCATAAGCTCCCCCACTGATTCTTTCCGGCTTTAAAAAGATAATGGCAGTTAATAGGTAAACCAGTTTTCATTCATTAGATTCTGCATATAGAATATTTTAAAAAAAAGTCCACGATATGGCTTTATGGTAAGGTTAAGGGACTGATTGGTTGGTTTTCCATCAATGGATAAAGTTGTCTGTGTGGATTAATCTGTGTGTATAGATCGGGAAGCTTTTTGTTTGGAAGGGTTTTTTTCGTAGATGGAAGGAGCGTGTTTTTTAATTGGGAGGGACGGGTTTGGAAAAAAGAACTTGGCTTTCTACATAAAGCTCCCTCAGAAGCTTACTGAATAAGCCACTTTCTATATCATTAAGCCACTACCAAACAATCATGAATAGCTGACTGAATAAGCTGTGAGTCCCATAAAGCTCATTAAGCTGCTACAAATCAGGCCCTAAATTTTGTAAGACAAAACATGCAATTGCATGAAAGTTTCACTTACAGCCATGTAATTGTATGTTCCGACAAATGTATCCCGTTGACCCATAGAGGTGGCCAGCATTGCGCTCACACCAAAATCCGTAATTTTCACTTGGCCTTTTTGGTTTACAAGAAGGTTAGATGGCTTAATATCTCGATGAATTACATGTCTTTCGTTGTGCAAATACACGAGACCCTGCAGTACCTGGGGTAAACATTTCAATGAGCTTATATATAAAACCAAACCAAACCAACCTTGGAAGTCTGAAGCAGAGGTAGGGTTTGGGGGTAAGAATTTAGGCAGGGGGCATTCCAATATTTTTGGAGGCCTAGTTACACAAGTACCAAGACAATTGACCGACAGGGCGAGTAATAAATAAAACAAAATATAAAAGTTCATACCATATATTATAGGGAAAATTATATGAAATGCTAAGTACCTTGGTCCAATTCTTATTTATAGAGCTGAGGTTAAAACATATATAATTGGGTTAAGGCTAATACGAGTATAATATTTGGGGCCTTGTTCCATATATCACATTGAAACACCATCTGGCACCACCCCTGAATTTAGGGGTGGATTTAGTCATGGGCTAGAGGGTGTCCATGCCCCCACTCTACCATCCAGATGCAATGAAAAAAATTAGGGGTCTTAAAGGAGGACCTGCTTTAATTTGATGTGTGCTCCCTTAAGTAAACAAAAAGTGGTTGCAACTTGCTAGTAATGTCATTGCATGTGGCATTATAGGTTGCAAGCTCGGATCCTTTTGGCTCTTTCTTTATCTTTTTTTTTAGTAAAAAAGAATGAACCCACTTGGGTGTTGCAAAAAACCACTTCTATGCCTCATTTATTTAAACCATACTTTATAACTGTTTTTTGTTTTATTTTATAGTCATTAATTATTTTGTGCCTCCGCTCGGAAAATTTCTGGATCCGCCTCCGGATAAGATGTATGCAAACCTTGCATCTACCATAAGGGTTAGAGAGGTTGGTTACATGAAGACCCCCAGGCTTACAAAACAAAAAATAAAAGAAACGAGTAAGTAAACTAGACTACCTGGTGAGATTGTGTGCAAAGAAGCAAAGAGTATCATAAACAGTAAATGCATCAGGGACAGATACGAAGAAATAGGTCAAACAAACAATAAAACAGAAAGTGCACTACCGACAACTACTAGTACAAGAAGAAGCCAAGACTATTCAGGAACCTAAATGGAACGTAAACTAACCTGTTTGCAGACAACAGCAAGATATGGTTCAAGGATTGTTTTAAGTTGTCTAATAACATCCGCCAGAGATCCACGATCCATGTATTCAAATACCAAAGAGATGGCTCCATTGTGGTAGAAAGAGTGGTAACAAACCACAACATGAGGACATTGTGATGCCTGATTAATTTTCAGCTCTTGCACAATCTGTTTACGAATATCCTCTTGTATGTTCATCTGAATCACCTACGAGGCATAACCCACGCATTTCAAAGGTATAAGGATGCATATCCAATACGGTGTCGGGGTTTTTTTTTAAGTATATAATATTTATAAATGACAAACCTCACACTCCTCACCTATGGTGAGGCTTGAACCCTTGACCTCCAATAAGGTGTCAAGATTAGTGTGGATAAAGGTTGAACAAGATGTGAGGCTTGCAAAAGCCTCATATTCCAAGTAATAATACATGGAAGAAATTTACGCAACTATGCAAAGAGTGATGACTCTATCAATGTTGCTAGAACAATCAAGGAATCCTCCAATTTTCACTAATATAGCAATAGGGTCCAAACAGTTTCAGAGTTAAAAATCTAAGTCGATACACTTCAAAGAATGTGATAGAATCTTTAGGAATATCTAAGACGCTTTTGTAACCTACATGAGACAGTTGACAAGCAATTAAGATGACTTGTATTGCCACTAGTGTCCCTATAGTTTGTTCCATATTTGTTATAGTCTTGCAAACCTGAAGCTAAACCGCCATAAAATGAACCATAGTTGTAGACAAACAAGAAGCAAGTAATTTGAGTTCATAAAAATCTGACCTTCAAAGCAAACAATGTTCCAACCCATTTATGCCGAACGAGTTGAACAACGCCTCCACTTCCTTTTCCAATAACTTTTATGGCTTCAAGGTCTTCTAGTGAAAATTGTAGATCAATCTCCTTGGTATCTGAAGGCTGTCCAAAGCAAACTAAAATGAGTTTCCCTAGCTATTACAAGTCTAAGTTGGGTATCATGTATCACAATTTACTAATAGAATTCAGTTTTGACCATATTTAGCTTTAGTTAAGAAAACTTGTATGACAATTATAAATTGCAAAAACTGAAAATGAGGGAGGATACAAGTCCGGTGGGTCATCGGTGTGCATTAATCTTTAGCAAGAACTGTAATCTCAATGTAAACCCCTATTAAACTTCCAACTTGTTATCAAAGACATAACGCTGTATAAATTTGTTGCATATCAAAACCATAGAATAGTTCAAACATCAAGATAACATTGTTTCCCATAAGGATGTCATGTCCTTGCTTATTGCCATTTCCCAATAATCAATATTCTGTAGTCAACAAGCATAGTTAGCTAGACATGATATTCAATTTTCACCCTGATAGCCTCACACCAAAAGCGACATCCTCTGAGTTGCAATCTAACGAACTTTTGATCTAGTAAGAGTCACTATTACCCCTTCCGAGACAATCAAGCATACATGATAAAAATGTAAACCCATGATCAACTAGTAACTGAGGAAATTGATGCCTCCAGATTTCTTCATGCTGTTACTAATATGTCCTCAATAAATAACATTAATCTGTCCTCAACTTCAGATGTCTTCATATTGAAGGCAATTATTCAACTAACCATTTAAGTAAGTCACGCTGCAGATAGATAGTTAATTTAAATTCCACTACTACTGAAAACTATCAAGAACATACTTAACCTGCATCTTCATACTCAGAGCCCAAATTTCACAGTTTCTAACCAGAATCTATCCTCATTCCGAATGCAACAAGTCATACAATATGAAGAAGGTTAGAAACTTACACTAGATCCCTTTTCCTCGGACTTTAGTCTTAAACCTTTCAAGTTTAAAAGTAAATCCCCATCATGAAATGTCCCGCTTGCAGTCCTGCAAATCCAGTATAACTATTATAATCTACAACTGCATAACTATATTCGCATAAATTATGTCAAAGTGAAATTGGAGCTTGCGAAGAACACTGTATTTAACCAAATTATGGATTTGAACGCAATTCCAGATTAAATGAGCATATGAATTGTATTTTAAATCCAGAATCATAAAGAAGGTCGTATTGAAACTTACAAGAAGCTGGTTATTGGGGCTTCTTGAGCAGGAACAGAGAGCTTTAGTTGCTTCAATGGCTTCATACCCTTCATCGTTGTGATTTAGATTAGGGTTTCTTACTCTCGGGGTGTGTGTCTGTGTGTGTGTGAGAGAGAGAGAGATTTTTCAAATAAGCAACAGACCGCCAGGGATCAAAAGATTATCAGAATTACTGAAATGCCCTCTAACTATTGTCTTTTGTGCATTTCGATCCCCAAACTTTGAAAGAATTAAATATCGCCGGTGAGTTATTAAAATAATATTTTTCACTTTTACTACTAGTTGTGTACTCACGCAATGCGGCGGGAGCCATGAATTTTAACGATTTTGAAGTTCCATTGATTTTATAAGATAAGATTTAACAATGATATAGGTTACACTTGATCGTTACATATTAATACAATTTGAATAAGTAAGAGTTATGGTTCTAATTACAGACTATCGATGAAAAAAATTGTATGACAGTTTAAAATCCAATATATTTAAAATCCAATATATTTAAACGACTCCACAAATGTGTTCAATTTACACCAAGAGCAAAAAACCAATAAACTTGAGTTTTAAGAAAAACACTCAAAATCAATAAAGAAAACTACAAATTTGACAGATCATAAGTCATGAAAAGACCAAAAAAGATGGGTTTTAGAATGAAATTTCAACTGTTTACCCTCTTTCTTGTCCAGAAACTCAGATTAAGGTTGAATTAATAAATGTATATATATATATTTCAAAAAAACTCAAAAACATATTAATTCAGAACATATTATACAGTGCAATTTGGACAGCCTAACCCCAAAATATATAGTATATATATAAATAAATAAATAACTATAAAAGTATAAATCGTAAATATTAAAAATATTTTTCACAGTATATATAACATATAATAATATAATTAAGTCAAAAACTATTTAATATTAGACTCATTTCGAAGGTATTAACGAAACAATTATAATGGTGTAACTTGTTAAAATAAAAATGTATTTTTTAAACATGTTTTAATTGATATACGATTATGTATGTTAATTTGATAAGGATTTAAAATGAAACATTTAAAAATAAAGGACATAAAGTAAATTAATTAATTAATTATGAGGGTAAATTTAAAATTATAATTTTAAAAAAATCGGTTGTGAGACGGTGAGTGTATGTGATGAGAAGAGGGGGTAAAAAAGTGACATAAGGGTAGTATAAAGGGTATTTTGGTTCTTTAGTATTTTAAGACTTTAAGACTTTTGTTAAATTTGCTTAATAAAATAGATATAGATATAGATATAGATAAGCTTTTAATGGTAAGATTCAACATTATTCCTTACCTTACTGGGGTAAGATTTTTATTTCATCAAAACTGCATCGTATGCAACAATTTACCAGGTAAACGCTAACTGTGTAAGAGTCGTCATCATCTCTTGTCGGATAACACTTTGGTGTTTGTCGTCCCTCTTACTGGATAAGATTCTCGGTTCTTGTCATGTTTATCGAATAAGATAATGTGACTTGGTAAACGCTTATCAGATAAACATTTGGTAAACCGCCCCTACATTAAGTCAATAATGTGTGTTTTTTCTGAATTTATCAAAAATAAAGATTAATATACACTGGAAATCGAATTAAAATCAGTGTGTCGATCACTTTCTAGTCATAAATTTTTTTTACATTGAATTTAATTCAAGGCATGGTCTTTTGTGTTTGATTTTTAAGCCCAATCTTTTGAAGACTCGATCTCGATATTGGTCTCATGGTCTAAAACAATATTGAACAGACCGTTTATCAAACGTTAATCAGATAATTTTGTATTGGCGAGAGTCACTATCCTCACTTACCAAATCGTATAACATTCTTAACTATTAAAATAGATTATTGGTAAACATCCTTGTGCTTACTGGGTAAGAGTCTTTTCTTTCACTTACTGGTTAAGATTTCTGATCCCTGTTATGCTTCTTACTGAGTAAGATTCTTGATTCTTATCATTTTTCCCGGTAAGGTAAATGACAGTAGGTAAATACTTATCTGGTAAATGGCTGATAAACTGTCCGTAATTATTTTTATATTTAACAGGAATTTAAAGGAATTCTAGAACACATCAGCAAATCATTTTGAAATTATAACTAGAGTTGGCGGAGTGATTTTGTCTAAAGACAAGACGTACTTTGGGTTCGATTTCAGATTTTCTGTTAGCCTCAGTCACTCAATAAGACAAAAGATATCTCTTTATACTGATCTTCTTAAAAGCGGGTTTTGTATGAGATATATTAAGTTTGTCAGTAATCAATATTTAACCTAAATTTGTAAATTATAAACGATAAAAACAGGTTCAAATTGGTCGTATTTTCAATCCTTAAACTGAATTTTGGGGTCAACCAATAATAATCATAATTGGGCTTCGGTGTGTAGATCCGAACTTAAGTTGATTAATACATTCGACAACTGTTTTAAAATAAAGATTTTGAAAGAAAAAAAATGTTTTAACAGCTACTGTAAAATAGTCTATGAAAACAGAAAAGCTAAAAATCTTGAAATTTGAAGAAATTTATGAAGCTCGACGTTGAGAAAAGATAAATATCATTTTAATTGAATTTACTATTTTAAAGTTTTTTTAAAGGCAAAAAAAAAAAAAACAAACATTCACAACGTTTTGCTGTGAAGTTTCAAATATAAAAAAAATGGTATCACGAAAACAGACTGGTCTCACGTAATCCCAAATCATAATTTTATTATGTAATATCATTAATTAAATTAAATTAAATTTTTAGAATTTATTTTTTATCCCTCCTAACAAGTTTATCCTGTATCTCATTTTATTATATTATTTTTTAGAACGAAATGATAAGTAATGGTGGTGGTTGTTTTTTTGTTCTGTATTTGTCCGTTTGACATCTTAGTGAACAAGCACAAACTACCATATTTTTATATTTTAAATAACTGAATATTTGAAAAAGAAAATAAACAAATAAGGGGCTGTTAACCTGAACATTTATCTGGTAAGCGTTTATCGGTAAAATTCAACACTATCGCTTACTTATCGGGTAAGATTTCAGTCCACCAAAACAACTTTACTTGGTAAGCGCTAATCGAGGTAAGAGTCATCGTCATCACTTATCGGGCAAAGACTCATGGTCCGTGTCTTCGCTCTTACCAAATAAAATTTTTGGTTCTTAACATATTAATCTGATAAAATAACATGATTTGATAAACCCTTGTCCAAATAAACACTAACTGTACAAAATAAGTTGTCACTAAATTCAACCAAAGTGATGCGGGTCGATTTTTTATTTTATTTTCAAATAAAAACACATGTAACCAATAATAAAATAAAAATAAAATAAGGGGGAATTATGGAGTGGGGCCTACCGGGGGGGTGGGGTCCAATAAAGAAGCATAAAAAGTAAAAGGTGAAAGAGAGTGGGGGTTTTAAACCCTTGTCTTCATGTGAGATGCTCAAAGCAAATCAAGCAAAATGTCACTTCTGTCAACGGGTCGTTCTGCTGTGCAAGCTTCGACAATAATCATTTTGTAGGTTTATCTATGGAAATCTTGTTACGACTTCTTCTTCTTCTATCTTATATTAACAAAATCTTGTTACGACTTTTCTTCCTCTATCTTATATGTAAAGAGCAGGGGGATGGGCCCCATCAAAAAATTTACTAGGGTTAAAAATAGTTTTTTTTTTTTACTTTTTACCTTGGTCCCTCTGGTAAATTTCTCTGGAAGTGCCCCCACGTCACAACCTAAAAACCAAAAAAGTTTATCGAAATCAATCAAAAAACTAACAAAATCTTTCGAAATCAATCGAAAAAGTCTCTCGAAATTAACAACAAAAAATATAAAAATACCTTGAAATCAATCAAGAAACTTTAAAATCCAACGAAACGATGGAATTAGGTTAAAAACACACCGAGTGATTTTGTGGGCCGTTAATCTACCTTAAAGGTGCCATCACTGGGCAAAAATCCTAGATCTGCCACTGCTCGTGTAATTGATGACATGGCGGGTCAGATTATGTTGCAAGTCTGCGTGTTTTCAGGTGCGGTTGTGGTTTCTTTAGAAGGCCATCTTGTTTCGGTAACCATAGTCTTGATGGTCTTGAAGTTTGAGATTAAAAATGGTCAAGAGTTCAAACCCTTCTTACATTTCTCACCTTAACTCTTACTTTTACAAGATCTCGTGTGTGTGTATGTGTGTGTGTGTATATATATATATATATCGATTTAACTGAAATGATTGGTTTGAACTCAAAACCAAATTGCATATCTCAGTTTGATAATTTTTCAAATCGGTTGGCTGAGTAATGAAAGGTCAAGCCAACCGAATTGTTTTGGTTTAATCGATTTCATATGCAAATCTCATTTTTCAGATAATCTTTAACACGTATCGTTTATGGTATAAACCTTATTTGAATGGTTGTAATTTGTTACAATATTAGGTAATGTCAATTTAATTCAAATATCTCGAGTCTCATATACATTATATTGTAATTCACATAATCCAGATATTTATAATAGCAATTTTGTTTTATAACTATCCTTAAACTGCAATCTGATTATGACTAATACTAACCAATGTCACATTTGTAACAACTCGTCCCACATGGATAAAATACGATACTTGTTAGCTCCTTATAAGTCTCAAGTAGTGAGCTACCAATAATTTTCACCATGGTTTTAAGTTGGATTCAAAGTTACCGGGCCAGCACGTTACTCAGGGCTTTGGGGTGTCACAGTATTCAGGATATTTAATTGCATTTGTTAATAATATCAGGTGATGTCAGATCCAAGATATTTGAATTAATTCATATTCATGAAATTCATTTGGAGCCCAACACTTTTCCCCAAAATAATTTAAAGTTTATTGATAACCTTTCGTTTTCCTCTCTTTTTAACCATTATTAAGCTTCAAAACAATAACTATCGAATGTCACACACAAACAAAATAACAGTTACTTTGAAGATCGTCTCAAGTGACAAATATATACCAGGCACCTTATTACCACTGTGATTTTACTGACTACTGTTTTTTAAGATTCTAAGGAATTACTCAAGGTACACGCAAGTTGGCATAGAAATCCACAGTTACCTGTAAAAACAAAACACAACCCTTAACCACAAGGGTAGTGCCTGATTGATTTGAGTTTGGCTCCAAAGGTCAAAAGTGTCTGGAGGTCCAATGTTAAAATCCAAGAAGGAACAAAAATCCCCTTTGTGGCCATGGAGGTTCAAATGCGGTGACTCCGGGCTACCTGCAAAGCAGGTGGTCGCCCTGAGATTAGTCGGCTCGCATAGCGGGTTGGATATCCAGGTTAATAAAAAAAAACAAAACACAACCCTCCGATCAATCTCGTTGGAGAAGACAAAGCCTTCCACATATGGAGGACCTCGAATCCTAACATGTCAAAACGTTTTGGGCGACTACAAATGGCCATACCTAGACTAACAATCGTGGCCTCACCTAAAGCATCGTTCATCCAAACCTATGCCTACAGTCTCCACTAAGATTGTTGAGTCCACCACTCGTGCTTCATAGAAGGAAAGTCCGACCATCTTGGCCTAGCAATACAGTTACCGTTTAGATTCGTATGTCCCATTGGTCCGATGACAACAGAGTTGAAGTTGACGATGAAAAAGCCCTTTAACTGGGCAAGTAATAAGGTAACTCTCTTAATATTCGGTCAAGGTATGAGAGCGTGGAATGACACGTTATAAAACGAGTACGGATGATTAAAAAGAACAATTTCTTTGAACAATTCGTTGAGGATAAATTTATAACTTTGTATTTTTTACAATATAAAACTGTGAGATTAGGTTCATGTGAGATCAATCTGTTTTCATATGACATGTGAGAATACAAAATAACACTGAAGTTTCACAACAATTCATTGTGACGAACTTTCACGCTAATAACATTGTGAATGAACCTTCACAGTCTTTTGCTATGAAGGTTCAATGTAGTTTACGTGATCTCACGGGTTTCGTAAAAATATATTGCATTCATAGTATTTTTACCGTCAAAGTTCGGTGTATTTTACGTAATCTCACGGGTCTCATGAAAGTATGTTGGTCTCACATGATCAAATCTCAAAATCATATTTGATTATTAGGGTTGAGCTCATGTGAGACCATCCTATTATTATGTAACCATATTTTTACACTTGAAACTTTACAACAAAATATTGTGAAAGTAAAAAAAATTGAATATTCACAATAAAAACATTGTGAAGGTAACCATCATAATGTTTTACTATAAAGTTTTAAGTGTAAAAATATAGTTTCATAGGTCTCATAAAAAAACATACTAGTTTCAAATGAAGGGCTGTTTGGTAGTTGCTGAATGGTTTAGTGCAGAATTATTAAGTGGTCAGAATGATTAGAGGCTATCATGATATAGTAAAAAATGAAATATAATTGTTTGGTAATTGTGTACAATGAAATTATAGCTCTTAATGGCTAAGGAGGATCCAGGATCCAAAATCATTCAGAAAATTTTAGAACCATTAAAAAATATACTTTTTTTGTCAAACAAGATCCACTTTTTAACGATTTAAAGATGACCGTTAAGACTAAATCTAGGTTATTATATAATGCCAGATTATACAGCATACGTGGGGAACAGACATACCTTTTCTTGTCTGGTTTAACACCGGAATCAAGACATTTTATAAATTCCAGTTTATGAAAACCCGTTTGAAGTCCGATTCCGATGTGCTATTTTACCCAAAAAGAAAAGAAAATTGAAATCCACGTACTGTTTCCTGCTCGCTGACACCCACATACTCCGACACTCGTCTCTGGTACTTAGCTTTCCTCTGATTTGTCGCCATTATCGAGCTCCAAAAAGCTGAGAAATAGAGACGTTGTAGCGTCTCGCACGAGGTTTTAAGTTTCAGCATTTCTGGAGAATAATAGTTGAAGAGAAGTGTGTGTGTGTTTAGAGAGAGAGAGAGAGATTGAGAGAAAATCGATATCTGATTTGGAATGGCGAGAGGGTTTAGATTGATCTTTGCGACTTCTCTACTACTTATGCTTCTAGGTATGTTCTCTTAAGCACATTATGTGTTTGTGAAAATGTCAACTGGGTTTTTCGACTTCCATCTTTCTTATGCACATTGTGTTTGTAAAAATGTCAGTTGGTTTTTGCCACTTCTATCCTCCTTGTGTTTCTGGGTATGTTCTGCACATTTATGTGTTTTTCTTTTTGGTTGACTATGATTTTTGGTCCCGCTTAAGACCACCGACTAATTCTCGGGCTACCACAAATAGTGTGGACTCATCGTTGGTGGAACTCTATGACCACAAGAGCTCTGGTAGCTCTTGGATTTGAACCCGGGAACGTTATGTGTTTGTGATAATGCCAATTGATTTTTTCGACTTTTATCCTCGTTATAAGCTTTTGGGTATGTTCTTTTATGCACATTATGTTTTTGTGATAATGTCAATTGGTTTTCGTGACTTCTATCCTCCTTATGCTTTTGGGTATGTTCTCTTATGCACATTATATGTTTGTGAAAATGTTAACTGGTGTGGTGCTTGAGCCTTTTCGTGTGTTCTTCATTGACTCAATGTTGATGGTGCTTGAGATTCTAATTTGTGGTTTTATGCTGATATATTGAATTGATTCACTTTTTTAAATTGAAGATAGAGATCCCTTTTAGTATCTTCCCGAATGCTTATAATGTGTAACGTCCCTTCCAACCGTACCAGATATTGTATGCTTTATCCACCGGTGCCCATCATCCTCTTCGGAAGACCAGTCCGGTTTTAGGCTGTGGTACCATTTGTAACGTCCCCCCGGCCAACCGTACCACATATTGTCCGTTTTATTCACATCTAGATCTGAATAGAAGAAATATCTAGTCCCTCATAA